CTGCTCCAAGTACAGGGCCAGGAGATATGATAAGCGGGGCCAAGGTTTCCAAGTGTGCCTGGAAAGGGGAAGCGACGGGGAGGAATTTGACTAAAAGAGTGAAAAATTCAAAACTGGACTGGTTTTGTTTGCTTACGCTGTAATTGCACAGCGCACAAACCCAATCAGTGGCTGGTAAAATGAAAGGAGAGGCCTCTTCACACAAGGTGGAGTGGGACTTGGCTGATAAAGGAGTGGAGAGATCATAAGGAAGCGAAGTCATGCAGTGCCTGGCTACTGTCCCAGTTCTTCAGGCCAAAAGAAGGCTAACCTGATTTCTGATTCCCAGTCATACATTTCTCACCCTAGGGAGAAGGAGGAAAGGGTTATATCTATGCACGGCATCATATAGCCGGTCGGATGCATGATTTATCAGGACCTTCCTGGGCTGGCAGGGTCACTTCACCCTTCGGGACTACTGTTCTGCTCAGGAGCAATGCTGCTGGAGACTGAGAACAGCATCAGCCCACTGCTGATTGCTCAGATCAAAGTGTGAACATGCCGGAGCCCATGAACCCTGTCCTAGAGGCCTCACCTTTAAGCCAACTCAAAGAATAAACAGCCCCGAATGCAGCGCTCACGCAAACCTGTGACTCAGGGAAAAGGAGAGAGAACATGAAGTCATGCTGGATCCCTCTATATCTGTTTGGCAGGCAGACAAGAAGTGATATGCGCTGGGGCGAGAACATATAGATTGGTCTTGGGAAAGGGACTTGAAACTGCAGTTGCTTTGAGCACCGTTGCTCAGCTTTGTGATCCCTCAGCCCGTATCTCCCCACTCTCCCCAGCTGCCCTACAGCCCTCCTCAAGCCATCCCCACAGCTTATCCACCTCCCCTGCTCCATCTCTGCCCCTCTCCATGCCACCTTCCCCTTGGTCCTCCAGCTGCAGCCATACCCGGCTGCGCTCTGCACGCTTGAGCTCTGGACCCGGAGCAGTGTAGACGCGTTTGCCTAGCACGGCACCTAGGCTAATGACTTCTGGGACTGGGACAGAAGTTGCATAAACCAGGTTGAGCCAAAGCAGTTAAGTCTGATACTACATTCGACCAGGTTTATCTTAAACCAGTTTTATGTGCACTGAACTTCTGCTGTGTTACAGGTTTAAACCAGGTTCTGATCACTTAAACCGATTGATGTGTAAATCAGGGAACTTTTGGCCCTAGCCCTGAAGCTAATTACTTTACCCGCAGGGCCACTTGAAGGTGACTTCTGCTTGGGACGTAGCCTGCACGGGGCAGTGTGATGTGCTGACCCAATTCTGCCTGGCACCCCTGGCACGTTTGAGGGGAAAGAAGAACTTGGCCAACACTCATCTTCTTGTATCCTCCTTTTTGGCCCATCACAGCATCTCTGTGGCCTGCTGCTTCAGACCCACCGCACCCCGTATCACATTTTGGTCACCGGACCTTATGAAGCAATGAAATGATCCCATGGCAAGATTCACGTTCCTCATGAACAAAGGCCCATCCCCTGAGCTAGGTTTGGGGTGGATTACTTTTACAGTCGTGCTTTTAAACTTAAGACATTCAGGAAAGTGGCAAACATCATTGTAGATGGGCTTGTAGAAATCCTAGGGGCCAATGGGCCAGTCTCGCCACTGACTCCGTGGCTGCTCTCGCCTCATATGGACCTGTGGATCTCCCCATATCACGCATGTAAGTGCTGGCCAGATCAGGCTCGACGCATGAGGTTTGACTGAGGAGAAGCCATTTGTCTTGCAAATTAATCCAAATATCCAGTGTATTGCTTTTGGTCCCTGGACGTCAAAGCTGATCAGAGTTGACTGGAAATGTTTCTGCAGCTGGAACTGCTTAACAATCAAGCCGATTCCCTCAGAAATTGAAAATACGTTGATATGCATGGAGTTGGGGAGGAAATTGTTACTATTTTGAGCTGCTTACATATTGCTTTTTTGTTTGTTTGCTTGTTCTTTTTTAAAAGGAACAAATTCAGCCCCCCTGGGGTTTTCTATCTATCTCCTTAAGGTAGCTGGTTGATGTCAAATTTCAGATCTGGGCTGCATGGGGGAGATGAGGCTTGCAGCTTGTTACATTTTTAAAAATTATTATTTTATTTTTCAGTTGTACCGCTTGCTGGTGACAGGGGCTATTCTGTCAGCTCTTGAGACCCTGTGAGTGACTGTATAGAGTCATAGACAATGAGGCTGGAAGGGACCTCAGGAGGGCACATCTAGTCCAACCCCCTGCTCCAAGCAGGACCAGCCCCAACTACATCATCCCAGACAAGGCTTTGTCTCCCTGAGCCTTAAAAAACTACAAGGATGGAGGTTGCACCACCTCTCTGGGTAACCTCTTCAAGTGCTTCATCACCCTTCTCATAAAAAAGTTTTTCCTAATATCCAACCTCAACTTCCCTTGCTGCAACTGGAGCCCATTGCTCCTTGTCCTGTCATCTGCCGCCCTGAGACCAGTCCAGCTCCATCCTCTTTGCAGCCCCCCCTGCACAGAGTTGAAGGCTGCTATTAAATCCCACCTCGGTCTTCTCTTTTGCGGACTAAATCAGCCCATTTCCCTCAATCTATCCTCATAAGTCATGTCCTCCAGCCCCCAAACTATTTTCATTGCCCACTGCTGGACTCTCTCCAACTTGTGCACATCCTTTCTATAACAGGGTCCCCAAAACTAGACGCAGTATAGGTCCCACAAAGGCCATAGCAACATAATGCTTCTTCTACTCTGCCTTCAGGGCCCATGTTTGAGGCTAGCAGAGCAGTTCAGTCTCTAAAATGACCCATACCCAAGCAGCATCCTGAGCTGTTGCTAAGCCAGCCAGCAGCAAATGCCCAAGAGAGGATGTAGGTTAAATCCTGCCTGTCTGCCAACTTGGGGTGCCTCCAGGAATGCGAGACTGCATTTCAGTCTCGGGGTAGAAAGAGACATCGCCCAACGACACACATCCTCTGCACCACAATGCGTCCTGGCACAACTGATCCTATTCAGTGGATGCAGCACGTTGCTCATTGTCCTGCCTGTTTATGCTGGTGGACAACAGGCAATGTCTTCTCCTAGGGTTTGAGGGCCCTGGTCCTGTGCCCCCCCAGGGTTTCCCATGCAGAATCAGGCCCCTCAAACTGAGGGAACACCTGCCTGCCTTTCCCCTCTTACAGAAATGTGCCCCTGGGATGTCCAGGGTGCATCTCCATTAGCAGGGAAAGTCAGGATTTCCATATTTACCAAGATGCATCCCCAGGATCTTCTGTTCAGGGCTGTCCAGAGCTGACATCATAACCCCTGTCGCCAGCGTGCGGTACAGCTGAACAGTGAAATCATTAAAAGCATGCAACAAACCCAAAGCCTGATCTTCCCCACACCGCCCCAAGCCTCTGGGCTGCCATGGAGTAAGCAGGCGTCTGCCACTCAGCAGCAGCACAAATCCACCCCACCCTCATCGCAGCCACCTTTGTGGTACGACAAGGGCGTGGATGTCTGTTTGCTTGGCCTTTGTGCTACTAGATCAACTTGTGTGGCTGCACAAGGGCGACGTGTGTTTCCACCCCGAGACCAGTTCCTGGACCTACGGGCCTGAGTCATCCTGTGGTTAGGGAGGACTGGCTCACACACAAGGAGGAGATGCTGCCACCTGCCTTTTACTTAATAGCCTCAGGCTCAGAGCACTCACCTAAAAAAAGAGCAGTTATCGAGACCCACATTGCAAGCACCTGATAAGGTTGATGCCCCGGGGTATAAGTAGCTTTAGGCACTTAAAATGTGACGCTAGTCCACCTTGCTGGAGTCCCTGAGAAAGAGTTATTGCAGACGGTGGGTGCTCTCCTTCTCCTCCTCCTCCTTGCTGCTTTTCTGTGGCTCAGGCTTGATGCACATGGGATGGCGTGTTACAAAAGGGGACGCGCTTGTGGATTTTCAGGTGCTTGAACAGGGTGGAACAGAAACGCACGTAGGTAGAGGTGTAACGGGCCGGCTCCATGCCCTGGGCAGTGGCTGCACGTGGAGCCGTGCCAGCAAATGGTGGCGGTGGCATGGCCAGCTGTTCGCTGCAGCAAGGGGTATTTTTGCACCTCCCCCTAGGCAGCACTCAGGGCTGCTGCCCTGGTTGTCCCTACTCTACTCAGTTGTGCTATGGTACGTAGGAGACAAAGTCCACCTAGATGCCTAGTAGAGCTTGACCCCAAGTGTGTGAATCCCAAAAGGGCTCAGACCTGCGCTGGGTGCTGAGACGCTCGGTACAGTGGGCATGCCCAGACACAGGACTTTATGCACCTAAATCAGTTTTCTAGTGAAAACACAGGTGCGTG